GCATGTGTGTCACTTCATGTTTCAGAAGGGCTTTTAACCCTCGCCTCTGGGCAGCCAGGATTTCCGGCTCCACAGCAGCAGGAACAGAGTGAGACAGGAAATACTGCTGGCTGCTGCTGCCACGGGCTGGGAGGGAGAAAGGTCAACAGCTCTGTTTGGACCTTCTCATTACTCCCACATCCTCAGGCTTGTGTCTAGTCAAGATTGCATTTATCAATGCCACTACTGATAACCAATTTATGACTAATTGAACTTATCAAATTGCCCCTTTATATTGTCAGTGTTTGCTGAACTTCATTTGAGTATGTAACATAAATGCCATTCATTGTTTTCAAGCTGCTTTGAATATTATGTTGCTGAGCTAGCACTGACTGGTATAATAGCAATGCCAGATACCCACATGCTCAGTGTCCATGCCACCCATGGGAACAGAGACAAACCCTTCCAGCAGCCTGAAATAGGAATAGTTTTATCAAAGCCCTTTCTTGAGACCATCCACTTTATATTTTGCTTTGTAGAAGCATCTTGGGAGGTCAGCCACACTAGGACAAGCCACATGATACTGAACTGCAAAGTTGTGACAATCATTTGACATTCTTCGTCGTTCGAAAATACAGTTTAATTTTATATAACTACAACTTCATTGCGGTGATCAACACTTCCATTTTACCTTTCAGAAGGCTGCTATGGTACTTCACAACACTACAATAAATAAATTCATTTAAAATCTGTCACGTTCCCCATTGTTGGGGACTACTGCATATTACCATGAAGGCAGAAATAGGCTGAATGCTTCTCAAATAGGAATGTTACAGTGGAATTTCTGAACAATTGAAACAAATTTAGCTTTATTCTCAATCAAAATGAAACATTCATAAAGTTTCCCATAAAAAGTCCAATGCTTTGTTTTTCCAAAGTCCAAAAAACAAACTCATAAATGAAACATTTCACAGCATTTCAGTAGAGGTACCTATTATGGCAAGTAACTTGTATTAGTAAATATTGCAAGTAACAATAAGATATAAACTATTATATCCCACATATTTTTGAAACTGAATTTATAATTTCAAAGTGACAGCACTAGTATTTTTAAAGGACAGTATGGCAAACATTTTCAAAAAGTATCTTTGACCACCTCTGCTCTTGAGCACCACGGCAGACCCTAAAGCTGAACACAAACAAAGCAACCACCTGCCAATTCTGGTCTCTATAAAAAAGCCTAGGGAAAAGCATCAATTTATGTTAAATGTAACATGGAATTCAGACTCAGTGTTGGGACTACAAAACCATAAAGAGTGAGACTATAGTATTTACACAGCTGCAGGTTCAGGTCCAACTTTTTATAAAACTTATTTTAAACAAAGGGAACACTGATGGCATCTGGTTATCATCCTGAGACAAGTAAATAATCATTTAACATCTTCAAATTGAGACTATCTAGATCTAAGTAAAAATACTGCATTTTTATGCTGTTAATAGAAGGGAAATAAAAATAAAATGCTTGACTGTCAGGTACTGTTTTCTCCTTCCTGTAAACAACCATACCAAAAAAATTGGATAATATTCAAAAGTTGTTATAGTTCTACAAATTAAACCATGTCATTACTTCTCCTGGCCCCTGTATACTATGACTTTTGCAGTTTTTGAATAATACTTGTTGAAGAAAGTGCATCAACATAAGACAATTCAACAGTTCTTTTAAGCAAGATGCAATTTCAGCCCTTTAGGCTTAAAGGACATAAAGGCTTTATAAAAATACAAGTAACTGAGAAATACCTCTTCTCCTCACATACTGCATTCTTTCACACAGAACTTTCAAGCAGATTCTGGGACCTGTAACAAGGTTTCAAACAAGACATACGTGCAACAGCAGGAAATTACCTGTTTTACTAGCTTAATGCAACAGGGTTTTGAAATACAGGGAAGCTAAGTAAGACAAGTTATGCTCCTGTATTATATTGAGAAAACTTTTCAAGAGCAGTTGAACATGTTCCCCTTGCTGCCCAAACAGGGAACACCGAGGAGATGAAATTCCTGAACTCGGTAGACTGGCGTTCAGGTGTTGTTTGCCCTTCCTTTGCTGATATTCTCTCATTTTCCTATTTTGATTTACATGAGACACAAAAGCAGAGCTTCTATTAGCATACATTTACAAATTCAATCTCATTTCTCTCCACAAGTGCCAAAGCCTTCCTAGTAGTTTTCCTTAGGTAAGTTCACTGCCAAATTAAAATGAATCAAAGATGACAAGTTAATGTATTTTAGTTTCAGCACAAAACCACATAATCGTTTAGGCCCATTTTCTTTTTATTAATAATATAAGGTTCTATAATCTCTTAACATTACAACTGGAGTTTTACAGTTAATCTCACACTAAAATGACAAACACTGTTTGGCTTTATTTGCAGAAAGTTAAATTACAACCTTGATAAACATACATTTCCAAGATTGAGAAGCAATTTGTGTTTTCTGGATTTCAGTGATAATGTATGCCTGCCTTTGAAACTGGTTTAAGTTAGTTAACATTGCTATGGAATAACTATTTGGCCTGGCCTCTGTTCACAGCTGTAAGGCAAAGATGCCATCTCTAACTCAACTAATATACTATAAGTCAAGAAGAGACATGTTTCTGTTTGACTGTAAGATTTAGACCCTGGATCAATTTCTAACAGATTTTCTCCTTTCCCCTCAAAACTTTTATAAAAGTCTCTCTAATCTAAATACATTTCATAGTCAGGCCCTACTCACTCTGCACCTTTCCTCCTTCAAAGAGAACAGAAGCTGTGTAACTGGAAGTAATGGCAAGCTTAATAAAAACTGCTTGAAACTTACGTATGACCAAAATAGTCAAGTGAATGAAAAAGTAATGGGTTATGCCAAGATACACTTCTGATCTGCATGGCTCAAACTCCATCTCTGAACAGGCTGCAGCTACAGCAGGTGAAGTCTTTACAAAAGAAAGTAGAGAATACGGAATGAAGAGTGGTGGAAGACTTTAGTAGGGAATGAAAGTTTTCTTTTAAATGTGTAATGATCTATGTTTATCTAGATCTCCTGAACTTGCATTACACTTTTGCCTATTTTCATTACGAATTAAATGTGAAATCAGAGATGGTCAGCAATACATGCATTTCAACTGCAGTTTCACTAAGCTCTGACCAGTTTATAAGACAGAAAAATATTTAGGAAGACAGCAATAGAGTGGCCATTAGAAAAAATATCCATTACATTTATAGTTAATCTTTTCCTCAGAGCTACCCAGTGACATTGCTTTGGGACCCTTATAGCCTGTTATTTTATCTTCCCATAGGACAACTGACACGCAGTAAAAATGTTTACTGCATTTTAAATCACTTCAAAAGCCAGTGGCTATTTCAATGTTAGAGAGTACAAGGAGTTTTTGTCTCTGCAATTTCAATACAAAAAAGGGATGGGGAAACCATAGTCAGAAAATTAGAATGGTTAATCAGAAATTAAGAATTGATAAGGATGTTGTATAGCTGTGTAGTACTTTAAAAAAAAAAAAAATCTTAAGAGACCAGTATTACTGAGCTATGACTACTTGTTTTAGTTCTGTTTGTGCTGTCATTCTGCAAAAAGGCTTCACATACTTTCCTTCAAAACTGATTCTTCACAGTTAAGACATATATTTGCATTGAGGCACATAAACACCCTTCATATTCACCAACTCCTAGAAAGGTCTCTATTTCAGAGTGATACAAGTCATCAGGAAGATTTCAGATGTGGCCATGTAGTCACAATCATGCACCATGCAAGATGAGGAAGCCCCCTGCATAAACATGTACAGATTTACTTCGCTGAGACACCACTGTGTACTCAAGGAACACATAACCACAGTGTGAAGGGTCACTTTCCCAAAACAGACTACACCTCGTTTTGTTTGCTACTGATATATGAACTCTGAGGGCCAAAAACTAAAATATAAAAGAGTAGATTATGTTGAAATGTTGTGAAACAAAGACCATTCAAAATAAATCTAGCTGCAATGCAAATCTCACATTAATACTCTGTTTTATGACCTGCAAATCATAAAAAGTTTTCCTTAAGTACCTTGACAGCATGCATTTTAAAGTGATGTTTTAAGTATTCATGGTTTTTTTGATCATTTTAATTACAGAATTCATATTAATCTCTAAACAAGTCCAAAGTTGTCTGATACACAGTATTTTTCAAGCATTTTATACTTTTTGGTATATTACCAAAACTGAGAGTTAAACAATATTCTAAAATAGTTTAAAAACAAAAATGCAATTTTATCTTTTTCTCCTCATTAAGGGCATTACAATTACAAAAGGTGTCCAAACTGACACTACAGAGCTGTGAAGCAGTTGGCTAGAGAGACAGTGTCCTCAAAGGATAGTCTATATTTTTTTCCTATCCTATGCAATTGTATATTAATTATCAAAAAGTTGGATCATTTGCTTTAAGAAAAGAACCCACCTTAAAAATGGATCATGAGTATTGACAAATACTTCTAGTTTTACTGATTAATATTCAAGTTTCAATGTAAAAATGCTTACTCTCATACGATACTGATCAAGAAAATACTTCATGTTCTTAAGAGTTAAATGGACAATTAAAATTGTGACTACGAGTAAAGTAAATGATTCATAAAGGCCGTAGGAAACTGTACAAAACTAAAATGGGAAGTGTCACTTTCAGGATGTTGCTCACTTGTGTTTTATTAAACTGTTGAGACTGTTTCAAAAGACAGTGCTGGGCAGTTTCATTTGAATAGCCAAAGCATTTTTTACTGAAAAAGATATTTTGCATCTCTGCAAAACAAACAAAACCCATACACACTAGGACTGAAGTACAGATGAAGGCAAAATTTTGTTACAAACCTGTTTTCAACATACAGTGAGAAATGTCCATTGTACAAAACTTAGTGACTGACCTACAATTAATTTAAGATTATCCCAGCAATGCAAATACAACTCAGAACAGCTCAATTGTCTAAGACTTTCCAGTAGTACTACAGTGGGAGAATACAGAGTTTTTACAAGTAGTTTGACTTACATTGTCTATTTTGATTAAAGCCTACATTTGCACTTTAAGTATTTGCTGGTTATAAGTTTGTTACATACTTAATGCTTCAGCACAGTGAAGTACTCCTTGATGTTCTCTCACCTGTCTCCTAGCAGCTTTCCTTTACCTGGGTTGAGCAGCTGCTACTGTAGAAAAGACTGTTGTCTTTGTTGTCCTTGCAGGGGATGCTTTAGTCAGAAACATCTGGCAGTATCCAGCACTGAAAATACTGTCAGTTGTGTTACCTAAACCAGACCTGGAAAAACAAATTTACATTTCCTGGTTGGTAATACACTTTGTGCCCAGTGGGTTGTTTAAGAGCATTTTAAGTAAAAATCCATAAACATTAGCAGTGATGGTTACACTTTATTGGAGGGAGGGGGTGGCAAAAATCAATGTAAGTTACTAGTTTTTAAAGTCTAGTCTGTTATATTTGATTACTGGGATATCAATACAATGCAAGTGGAAGAATTTCAACAGTAATTTTGAAGTTTTAGTACATCATGTTGTGCAGGGCTTTATAGAAGATTTTTGTTTCCAAAGATGTTATTAGGGTCCACATATTCTTTAACAGATCTCAGCATTCCCAGGCCAACATCAGAGATGCTCTCCTTCATCCAGCGCTTCCGCAATTTGCCTACTGGAAAAACAAAAACAAAGTGTTTCAATATATGGCAGGATTCTAGGAGCCAATCAATCTTGTGACCATGAATGAATAAACACTGTGTGATAAATGTTTTTATTCAAAAATGAGAAATGTTTTGCTTTATTTGATTTATTGAGCCCACTAGACTATCAAGCTCATTAAGCTCAGCATACTCCCAGAGGAAGACTGTGTTCCACACTGTCTACTTTCTTTAGAAATGATGAAATTTAGATGAAGCTTAGGCTGAAATCACATGTTCTATTAAAACAGGGAATTGGTAGTAAGTCTTAAAAAAGCCACCAAACTAATTTTACGTAGGAAACTGAAGAGGAGATTACATAAAAAAGCAGCATCCCACACCTCCTACTTGCTTTAAAGTGAAAATATAACTCAATAATTGAACTTAAGATAGTATTGGTTTAAACAGTAAAAATAAAGAATTAAAAAATAATTTTTAAGGAGGGTTAAAGCCTTGTTTTAAGTCAACAAAATACCTTACTTAATTCAAAAACTTTTACACAGGCTAGTAACTTCTCACACCATTACACAAGACCTTAGTTTCCCATGTAAAAATGGATATTCACAACATATACAAAATACAAAGCAAAGCTGAAACATCAGCCATTTAAGAACTCATTTCATTAAAGTCTCACAATAGTCCTGTTAAATGGCCAAGTGTTCACATACTGATTAACCAAGTCATCAACTCTGATTTAACAGATCATTCAAAATAAAGAACATTTTTTCATTAAACACACTATAGCATTTAACTTGTCAGCCTGAAATACCATCCATTTGTCAGTATGATGTGATATAGTAAAGATTTGAGAGACAGATGCTTTAAGAGCATCTGAAGCTAAATTCAAACCATCTTTTGTGCCCTGTTCTCAGGGTAACCATCAAACTGTCATCAGAATAATAAATTACAGGGATGCCTCTTGAGAACAGAGTATATTTGTTTATACCTAAAGGAATATGAGCTAGTCACAATGCTAACTGAAAAAACAAATAGTATGAGAAAGAATGAAATTTGCAGTTTCCTAGAAAACAACTATTAGCAGCATGCATGTCAAGCGCGAAGATCGTAACTGAAGGACAAAAGAACATGGTCATGTGGGAGGAACTGTATTTTGCAGCCCAGCTCAAGAAAAAAAAAATCCCCATCTGTAAATATACCATCACTACAATTTGACTGTCTGACCAAGCTGATGTAGTTGAGTTTTACCTGGAGGTATTTTAATGCTACTACTACTACAAAGAAAGAATCATGGAAGTGGCTTGACCATCACCTCAAGTCACTCACACTGGCTCTTACACAAGCAGATGAAGAACAGTCATTACCATCCTCAACCATTATCTGTAATACAGTTTCAGGGAATGTGTCCTGTGGTTATGGATGTAATTGTCCTGAAAAGACTGCAAACAACTGCTCCAACAAGATGGAGCACATTAGAATCACAGCAGGATGCCCAACAGCTAGCATGCCTGCCTCTTTTACACCTCCAGTAATAATGCAATTCCATAAGGAACTGAACTACTGTCTGAGCAGCACCAAACAGTCGTTGCATATTTAATGAAGTCACTCACCAAGTGCTGGAAAACAGAAGGTGCTTGGAGTGCATCATTAGTTCTGTCAAAGTGATAATTTACACATCTATCTTGTCAAATTTTCTATGGTTTATACTTCTGCAATAATAAATCTAACATACATTTGATTAGTGAACTGGAAAGAAAAAAAGCTGTACTACAGTTACCAGCAGTCCTTTACAAACACATTCAGTGAAAAGATTTTAACCCCTTGATAACAGTAGGTTGAGCCCTTGCTCCTTCTATTTGTGTCAGTAGGATATACATGGATTTTTCAGCTACTCAAGTTTTCATCTCAGAGTTAAAAAGTACTGAAGCAATCTCGCTCTTAGAATTCAAAGCTGGTCTATTTGATTAGACAGAAAATAGACCAGTGAAGGAAAGGCTTTGTGCAGGTGAGAGCACCATTTAAAAAGCAATGTTTACATTTGTTTCACTTCAGGTTAGTGCTGCCCTTTAAGTATTCTGTTCTTCCTCCATATGACAATCCAATTAGCTTCAAGGATGAGAAGGGAAAAGGAGGAAAAAAATGCCATAAGAGCAAAGTGCCATGAACATAAAAATAATTCCAAGTGGCAAAGTTGCTTAACTCCACCCTAAGCCTAGCCAAACAGCAGCTTTGAGCTCAAGGAAGCATTAACTTCCCCAATGACAAAAGGTCTCTGTTAAGTCTAATCTTACCATGGACTAGAGAAAACCACTTTTCCATTCCTAGCCTAGAGAAAGTAGAGTTTTAGGCCTAGATGATGCCATTTATATAGAACTGACATGAGACACTGCACAGAACCAAATTTTATCCAAGTATCTATTACTGACGGGCTCTCAGCCCAGTATACTTTTTAAATTAAAAACTGAGATCAAATTCACCTGATTCTATATGCTATATCATAACAGTATTAATAAAGATTTTCAAATCAGCATAACACTGTACAGTCAGTTGTAGCTTAACAAGCCACTATTTGTCCGTTCAGCTATGCACACCATTACACACACAATCCTTGTTGTTCTATGAGAAACAAATACAGCCCTTCTTTCTTGCATCTTCTTCCTCTAAAGACACCTAATCTTGCATCTTAATTATCCCAGATGTAGTGTGACAGAATTAGTTTGAGTTTTACAAAAGGCAAGTGCCCTGTTTCTGAGGTGTGCTGAGCACTCTAATGCCTTAAAACATTCACTGCGAGAAGACAGAAGTCTTCAATCTGAAGCCCAGCCTATCACATAGATGACAAACATCTTAGCACGACAAAGTCTACTTCACACAAAGTACTTCAAATCAGAAAGCCAAGAAGCTTGTTCAGTAGCAACAAAGACAGTCCAATACCAATTTTATTTTTGCAGTGTTTTCAAGTTTTATCACCATTATAGTCCATGTAAGAAAAACATGTGAGCTGGTTAACTTTTTCCCCAATTCTGATACGTGCTGATCCAGCCCTTAGCTGGTTTCATTAGAAAAGCTGTTCATGCTTCCAGTGCCCTTTTAATCTGTTACAGAATAAAATACACCGCTGAAGTGCAACCACAATCTACACTGCTCCTGTAGAACCCATTCTTTGAAAACAAACCAAAAAAACAACCAAGCAAATATGCACTGATATTGCATTCTCTGCCAAAAGTGACAACAGTTTCCCATGTTCATGGTTTTTCAGAGAGAAGTTAATTAGATGCACAGCACACACCTACTGGCCACAAAGAAGCCAGAATGGGAGTACAGCTTTCCTGGCTCATAAAGGCTACACTCACTCACGTTTGAAAATGCATCTAGATGGCTAAAAAAAAAAAAAATCTAGCTGCTAAGGATGGAGCTAGAAAACAGCAGGCAGCAACTGGCTTTCTCATTTTTGGAATATGAAGTACTTGGGCACACATGAACAACCTTGGAAGGGAAGTTTTAGTGTAGTTCATGGATCCCAGGAATAACTCTACACCCATGCAGAACAGACTGATAGCAGTGTGTGGTTCCTGTGGAAGTAGTCTCTAGTGGCACATGGCCCCAGACTTCCTCTGTTCCATGTCTTTCAACTTAAAGAGGCAGTTATTGCAGAACAATAGCTCTGCAAAACGAGAAGCAGTAATGGGTCATAAGAAGGATGAGGTTCTTCCAGCTGTTGCATGCTCTTCCTGAAGCTGGCTGTCTCTATGGAAAGAATCACTCCACTTTTTGAAATTGCTTAATGGGTTATTACTCATCCCGAGAGAAATCTGCAATACTGAGAAAGGTCAGTGCATTAATCTAATACTGTAGTAGAGCTGGAGTATATTGCACCAGTGTACCTGAAGTCTACTACATAATTAACTCTTACCATCACAATAACATCTGTCACATGTGCATGTTTGGGTTGTTTTGGGGTTGGTTTTTTTTTTGGGGGGGGTGGAAGGGGAGTTAGGGTGGGGTTTGTTTGTGGGTTTTGTTTTTTTTTTTTCCTATATAAACTACCAGGAAATTTTATACCTAAATGTGTGGAGCCTGGGCTATGTTAACCCTTATTCTAGCCAATCTGTCTAAAAAGCAGAAGAAAATTAGTTCTATTACGTTAAGTGGCTAAATGGAGGTATTTTCCTCAAACCCACATGCTGATAATTGTTTCCTTAAGTAACCAGTTTTAGTCGGAACATTCTATCATTAAGGGAGACAATCAAACATTAATTTTTACACCGTTCCTTAGTTTTACATGTGTGCTTAGCTTAGCAATACAGATGGGATCAGGCCCAAATCCAGCCAGCACCCTTCTGATGCTGTACCCCAAAGGGGTTATACTTGTATTTATACACTAGTCTTACCTACTGATACTTCCTCAACAAATTATTTTATGTGTACAAAAAAGCATGTATTTTATGAAACAGGAATTCAAGAATGTCACATCAAGCTGTGACACATCATATTGGGGGTTTTAGGGCTTGCCCCAAGTGATTAGAAGAATTATTTACCTAAACTTAATCTTGTATCTACATGAAAAAATCATTCCTAATGCTGCTTTTTAAATGTTAGATTTCTAGAAGCTAACTGTGGCTCTAGCAGCACTTCGATCAAAGCTGCGTTCAAAGATGTGCACTATCCCTTTCTCAGTGTAGGACTTAGTCAAGACAAGGTGAAAACTCTAATCAAGACTGTAAAATCTCATGTAAGAAATGAAGACAAGGTATGCTACAACTAGGATATCCAATTCCTGAATAACTTTCAAAACCTTTAATAAGTCACAAATTATGTCACAGCATTAGTTAAAGGGGGCAAACAAGGCATAAGAAACCACTTCAAAGTCACACGTCAAAAACTACTTTAAAATCACCAAGAAGGTTTTCAGCAGTTTGTTCCCAGTAAATTTAGTGAGAAACAAATCTACCATATTTAGATAAGACCAGGATCATTTAAAAAAAAAAAATCTGATAAACTCCTCTATAAGGATCAGTTTCTGATGCACTAGAGAACAGCCAAATTCTCCCTGTGTAAGAAGTGCCTATCAGCTACGTATTTTAGCTATATTTTTATAGCAACACACATCCCTTCCTAAATGTAAATTCTGTTCATTACATAATCCATAAACATTGTCAAGTGTTAAATACTAACATTAAAGTAGGAAAACTATTCCTGACATCAATTTGATTTAAATATTTGAAAGCCAAGAGTGAGAAGGACTTCAAAGTGAAAAAATAATTTGATTAAAAGGACAGAGTCATTTAAGTTGCAGTATCATAGAAATTATGACCAGATGTATTAAAAAAAAAAAAAAAATCTGGATATTTTTCCCCAAAATACGAGTAATTGTTACATTTAAAGGATAAATTAATTACACAGATGTTTATGCCTGGCTTTGCTACTGCTACTTGTGTCTATGAGATGCTTGCTGTACAAGGGTGGTATTGAAACACTTCTGTACTTTGTTGTTGTTCTTGCCAATTGAAGGTGTGATCTTTAATGTAGTCTATTAACAAATAAAAGTTAAGCTTCTTACAAGTTTTAAGTCTCAAAAGTTATCGGGGGGATCTTCTCACAGTATTGCTACCTTTGGTGAGTCTTCCCTAAAAGTTACAATATTTTAAAATTTTCTGGAGGGACTGGAGAAGAGATATTGAGATTAAAATAGAATGCAAAGTAGAGTCTTTCTGAAGTTACTCTTCATATAAAGTACCATGATTTCAGTTCTCACTGTAGATTGTAGCTATGTGTTTACCTGCAGTTAGTGCTTCCCCCGATGTAAAGTAATTGAGCTTTACACATCTCACACTGTCATATATGACCACTTCTTCACTCAGGGAATGTATGAAGATTGACTTAAGCAGGCTTTGTATTTCCTATAGCCTCAAGTCCCAGACTACATCTGTTTTCTTTGATACACAAAACCAGAGTTAAAATAGCTCCATTTATCATAGTGTGATTGTAGGCAGACAAACCAGCCTGTCTGTTTCCAGATAGTGAAAACAACTGTTATTAATCACAATTACAAGACAAATACTAGAAGAAACTGGACCAGTATTTTCTTTTACCCAACGCAATAGACCAGTCTTAGAAGTGCTAAGAGTGACAAGGTCTGAAGGTCACTAAATAGAACTGATACTATTAAGCTAATTCTCAGCAGCACATCTACTAAGCACTGGAAAAAGTGGATCTTAAGTATCATACACAATGAACTGCCAGACAAAAACACTCAAAACTGAAGATATTTATCAGTATAAGAGGCAGTCATGCATATGACAGGAGCATGAGAGGTCTAAGAGAAACCAAGTTTTCCGTATCTGAGGAGTCAGAAAAAGTTCAAGCATGCAAGGGTTTGAAAACGCAACATAACACTTTTTTTTCCTTGTTCAACATATGCTGTAAGCAAGGTTTCATATGGTGAGAGCAAATACACCCAAACATGTGACAAGCTCCAGCTGCATGCAAGTTAATGGATGAAATGCTAGTCACAGTAAAACACAGCTGCCACAGCAGGGTAGAGCATAATAGTACATCAAGGGTATAATTCCACATCCCACATGCAAGAATTGGCCAGTCCACTGCGTCACCATATTAAAGATTTAATTGAGGACAATAAGAGCATATTAAACAAAAAAATACTAAAACTGTTTTCACTCATGTCATCATCACCTACATATCTTTCAACATCCTGATATTGCTAAAGCAGAGTCCATTTCAGTTTCTATCACAAAGCTAGATGCCTGAAAACAGCCCCAGCTAAAAGTTTCAAGTCCAGGAAGTCACCAGTGTGTTGAAAGCAGTTTCTTCCTGTCATTTTTCCCCACACAGAGCTTTCTTAGAATTACAAAATTTTTATCTAGTTTTAAACCACTAGATTACTACTTTGCTTATTTCTGTGTCCAGACAATGGCCCAAAGAAAGCAGAGAGAAGAAATGTGTTAAGTTAACCAGTTTAAAGAAGCTAGCTACACAAATCAAACCAACTTCACAAGTCTTCCTGACATCCAAGTTTACAGCATTGTGTAGTACACATGCAATCAAATTAGCTATCTGAATACTTGGGAAAAGCATATACAAGACATCAGGTATATGAAGTTATCACTTATACATGACACTGCTCTTAATACTAAAGCACAAAATAGCTCGTAAAGGGGCTAGTAATTCAGACAAGTAACTCCCAAACTCCAAGAGAGGAAACTGAATAATCAGAAGTCAGCAGACAGCAAGCCAGCAATATCAGTGCTTACATAACATCAATTATGCAACAAGTGGTAGCTTGCAACATAGCCTAGTTTAAAAGTCACTAGCTCTTTTATGCAGATACTATCACTAAGTGCTCTAGAATTAGGGTTAACAGCATTCACCTAGCCACAAGGGACACTAAACTGTCCTGAAACTGAAACTCATTTGAGGTCCTTGTAACTGAATATACCTCTGTACAGGGTTCATCAGAAGTTGCTTAAACTGATCAATTACATTTTCAGGTTCTCAGACAGCCTGTAGAGCTCCTATCAAAGCTTGGAAGCTGGTGCTCATAGATACACTGCATTGTGTGACTTGACATTGAGCAAACCAGGTCTAGGGACACTTCCCCTGAAAGCCTGGCAAAGAGGTGAAAGGTTTCTAGAAAGAATGCCAGGAGATTCCTGCCTCATTCTCCTCACCCAGTAATATCAGTTAATGCCTCCAAAATATTTTTCAAAGTTCTATTACAAACTATTTGTACCCATGAATATTTAGTATTATCAAAGATACTAATATTAGACTGAGATCATTACCTCCATGGTGATGTGACAAACTTCCTCCATTGGCAAGTATTTCTTCTCTAGCAGCCCTCTAAATGGGAAAGATAAGGTATTTAATCAACAGCAAATGCATAAGATGTTTGTTTTTACTGAAATGCTTGCCATTGCACTCATTTACGCAGGTGTATGAAAAGTTTCAGAAATAATTAGGGTACACTATACAGGTAAACATTTTCGTTCAAGTCTGCAGACAAACGTAAGTGGGGATTTTCCAAATAAACATTACCAAAGCCAAAATATTTAAAATGGCATCTGTTACAACACATCTATTATTCCAGAATGAAATATTCTGGATCACTTCCCCCTTGACAAAACTAAAATAGTCTAGTGGCTGGGATGTTCATCTGGAAGATGGTTAAGTGCCTACTGAAAAGGAAATAGCAATAAAGATGTTTGAACACAGGTCAGAGTTTAGACCCAGATGTCCAGGATTCTGGTCAAGGAAGTGAGATACTTTACAACTGACAACTCTTTAATGAGTGAAGTTTGTAGCAGAAAACAAAATGTAGATTTTTATGTTAAGAAATATTTGAATGCTTTAAAGCTCTAGAATCTTCTTTCCATCCAGCCCTGACAATGAATAGTTAGACAGCTTGGGACATTGTAAAAAAGAAAGCTTTCCTAAGCACAAGCACTATAAGTTTTTTTCCAAAAAGTGCACTTTTTTTTAGGAATAGTGTATATAGCCATACCTATGCAGTTAGAGATTTTTTTCAGTCTGCCACAGAGTGCATATACTTAGTTGGTAAACTTATTTTGTTAGGTTAAATTTAGTCACCTATACTGGAACACAGGTATCCAGGTGATCACACTGCTAATTCCAATAAATGGAAATATCTAAGTATTAATAAAGTTTAATTAAATAAGCACTCAAGTATTACATTCTCCAATGCCCTAGATTCAACAGCACAGAAATCTCGGAACTTGTAGGTAGAACTTTACCATCTACTTGCCAAGTTTAAGAGAAATTTCTAATGAGTAAGCACAAGAAGAATTATATCCTAGTTACAAATATAGACTATTTCTCCACAATCCTATTAGCAATTTTCTGGTGCTGAAGCTTTAGCATATGAACCAAAAGGTAGGATGAAAAGCAGTTTGGCAATAGTCCTCCTATGTCTAAGTATTACCTCTTCAAGCTAACAAGGATATTAGTTTTCCCTAACTAGGTAAGTATAGTGTTTCACCAGCCAAAGTTCTAAAGCACAGAGTTACACCAGAGCTTTTTGGTAAATGTCAAAGCAGCTCACAACTGGTCTAACACAGACTTAGACAAGCATTTATCTAGGTCTGAACAGAAATAACCACAGTAGTTCTCTAAAATAGCATGAGACAGACCCTCACATTCATTATTTTCTACATGCAGCACTATTAATAGAGTATCATCTTGATAGTTTTACCATGTATTTTACAGACTACTTGAGTATTAAGTAGAAGAAGTAGCTTTGTAAATAATGGAACTAAAGAAGTCTTGTTTCTCATGGATTTGGGTTTTGTGGTTCATAGTTTCTGCCATCCAAGAACAAATTCCAGTTCAAGCTTTCCTGTACTTTAGTCGTGTTTATTTACTCACGGCTAAAGTATACACTTTGCACCT